TTTTAGTCACCTGTTTGTTTTGTCTGTGGTTCAACAAGTTTTCTGTCTTCCGTTCCTCTATTTCTTACCACATGTTCACACTGCTATGCATTCGCACCCCAACTCTGCATGGCCACAGATGCAGTATTTGTTAGTTCCGCAGTGGGAGCTTAGATAAATATCTTCAAGCTATTTCTATTTGGTTATTTTTATTTTTTTTTTGCTTATTTTTAATGGTGGCGTATACCACCTTGCATAGTAAATAAAGAATTATAGGTTTGTGTAAAAACTGTTTCACTTTTTTTATTTCTACAGAACAGGTGTGAGCAACAGAACCCTGGCTGATGGAGAACATAGTGCGCTTCTTAATCATCCTCTCCACTGGTAAGATCACCATACAGGAACCACACTTTGTGACAGTTTGTTCATACATGTGTGCTGTATTCATCGTCATACATTATATGTTGTTGTATGCTGCTGTGTGTAGGAATATTCACTTAGAAACATAAAAAAAATAGACAGGAGCATTTACTAACTTTCTCTGTGTAACCGCTATTTAGTTTGTATTGTAATGTTAGTGTTTAACGTTATGGCACACACAATGCTTCCAGCTCAGCACCTTTGATTTCTCCATGGCCAGCTTTCTAGTTGGATCCACGCTCCACTGCAGGTCCCCAGCATCACTAAAGAACAAACAGTTCAGCAGTGTGATTTCTTCCACCTGGCCCAAAGCCAGAGATCACACCACTGCCACATAAGTTGAATTTTTTTTAATACTGTGTGCTGTATTTTAACAGTTTCCAGTGACAATGACCTGGACTGGAACTTTTGTGGCACATGGCGCCATGGCAACAACCCCCTGAGCCTGAACCTCAACATCTCTACTGGCTGTAAAGGAATCTCCATTTCAGCCAATGAGAGCTTTCTGTCCATCAACGGGCAGATCACAGCCCAGTGTAGGAGATCTGAAGTGATTACCTTCAAGCACCTTGGACTTGAGTCAGGAGGGGACATCAATTTCTGTCTGGACTGGGAGCCACTGCTGGACCAGTTAATGCTGACAGTAAGTGATAACAATTTTTAAATTTAAGTGTGGGTTCTAAATGCATTTTTTGTTTTTGTTTCATCATTTGACACCAATTATTTTATTCAATAACATTAAAGTTCCGGAGAACTCAACTAAAAAATGAGCGTGAGGTAGTTAAATGAAAGATGTGGAAAAAGAACGTGTGTATAATAATATACCACCACCACATTCTAAAAGCCATATAACAAAATGTAAAATTTATATGATATTCTGTGCACCGCATACACTACACTAGCTAAATTCAAGATTATTAAGATAATTTCTGTTTTTTGTTTTTGTTTTTCCTGTTGTGATGTTCAGGTAGGAGAGAAGAAGCTTATTCTGTGCTCACCTGCAAGCCTGCAGGATTCCTGCTGCACTGACCTGAGTGATGGCCCAAACACACAAGAAGCAGACTACGGCATCCTCAATACCAAGATTAATCATGGTTTCATCACTGACAAAACACGGATGGCGTACAACTTTCAAGCGCATTCCACCAACTACAGTAAGGAAGATTACACATATTGTGTCAGCATATTCTTGATAGAAAATCTGAAATGAAATATATTTAGCAAAAAATAAAATTGATGTTCTGTACTATTTTATTTGTTCCAATAACTCAGTTTGTCTGTAATGTTGTTAATATTTAGCTTTGCTGAACCAACATTTCAGATTTCAGTTATCAAGTGCAGCATGTCAGAATCAGAACTTTCTCTTCTTTTCTGTTTTTGCAGCAGAATTATGTGAACAGGCGAAACGGGAATCCGGCCCCAACAAGTAATTTCCTCTCTTTTCCTCAAATGCACCAGTTTATTGCAGGGATATCATGGCAGGATGTTGTAGACTTGATCCTTCCTGAAGTACACAAACTTTGATTACAAACGAGGAGTGAAGACATTAGCTGTCTGATGTAATATTACTCCATTCAAATGAAACATGAGAAACTTATAATCGTGGCTGTGCCTGATGTTTGTGTCCAGGTGTGCTGAGCCTCCATTCACTTACAAATCTGATGTGGAGATGAAGAAAGATTTCAAAGGCCGGAGCGTCACATCACCTGTAAGACAAACACACAAAAGTTAAAGAGACTTGTCTTCAGATTAACCTTTTCTTTTTCAAACCAACCAGTGTGAGAAGGCTTTGATGATTTCTTTTTAGAGAGTGGATGCTCTTTGTGATAGTGTGTCAGCTGTTGTATTGCAGTGTTGCTGTTCTGAACTACCTCATCTTACAATCTC